GCATGCATGCATGTTGATGACTACATCTTTACAGTCAGCATTCATTATTCGCATAGGATTGCACGTCAATTTTCTCTTCCTCAAATCTACATGTGGACGATTCAGGGCCAAGGAACGGGACAATAAAACAAGACGTATATGAGTGTAATCTAGGAACTCTAATCTTCACACAGCTTGGTTTCTTCTTAGCTCATCCTTTTAAGTGATAGGATCTGGACATAAAGCTCTCTAGATAACTGAGCCATCACAGAACCCTAATGGACACACCTGAAGATCCAGTTTCTTTTCTGAGGGATTTCTGAGAAATAAACTAAAAATCTTGGCAAAAAAACAAAACAAAAGAGAGAGTCCCAGCAGAGTGTCCTGAAAGTACTGATTGTTGCTATGCACACACAGGGAAGAAATGTTGAAACAATGAAACAGTCAGTGATGTGGGGGCTGGAGGAAGTGGCGGGGGTGTTTCTGCAGAATCCTGAGCTTGCAATATAAACCTTAAAATATCCATGTTGCATAAAGGCCTACTTCATATCCACGACACAGAAACAGCATCAATTATTTACTTTTGCTGGATTTATAACTTATTCATAGAAGATGGAACCATAAGCATCATGGGGGTAGACTCTTACATGACACAAGTGATGGATTTTTAACTATATCCTCATTTGTATGGCGACTAAAATGACCCCCCCCCACACACACTATCACAAACACACACACACACACACACACACACACACACACACACACACACACACACACACACACTCTGACTCTCCTCTGAACGCCAATCAGGTGCACAAACAACCAGCTGAGTGCAAATGAACACAACAAACAGACATGACTAATAGGTGCACCATGCAAACACCTGTCTGCAGAGGCAGAGACAGACAGTAGCACACCCCGCACCTCCTCCTCCTCCTACCTCCTGTAACTGCTCCAACTCCTTCCTGAGAGTCTCCTGCTCGGTCTCCAGGTCTGCATACTTCAGCTTCAGCGCCTGGTTCTCCTCCAGGACGACCAGCCCGCACTCAGCAGCCCTGATCTTCTCCCGGTTCGCCTCGGCCAGTTCCGCAGTGAGACGCTCCACCTCGGCCCGGTACTGATCCACCGATTCCCCGCATGCTGCACCGGCAGCCATCGCCCCTCTCTCTGTGTGGGACTCCGTCCTCCTGTCCTCCTGTCGGTCTGCGGTCCTACTGTTCCCCTCAGCTCTGCACAGAGCCAGAGAGGCGGGCGGAGGCTGCGAGATGCTGCTGAATACCCCGCCCCCCCCCCCCCCTCCTGAGAGCCAGTCCGAGCAGGCGATGAATAAATCAAACAAGCAGAAGAGTATTTACATGAATCTTACCGCAGTGTTGTCAGCAGCACCTCACAGCAGGTAAATATTACTCAGACCACCACATTGTCTCATAGATGAAGATTTAAAATCAGGTCAGGGTTGCTCTGTGTGACACTCAGCAAAACATCATTTCTGCTTATTCATGGGTGCAAGGGCGCCACTTGTCTGCTGCTGTGAGGTATTGCGTCTCGGGATATTTTTAATTATCCATGCCTTCCATCTGCTCAAGAGAATTGTTCCTGCCTGCTCTCGGTATTCACGAGTCATCTCTCCTGGTGGAAGAAGAAAGATTATAAACACTCTGGCTTTACCTCTGCAGAGTGAGAAAACAAATTAATTTCACACAGTAATAAGAGCGGAATAGAAAACTACTCCATTTATTTATGTAAAGTTAGTTTATTACAAAAACTAGTTTCAATCAAAACAGATACTGAACTCAACATGAGGATAAGGGTTTCAAAAGTCCTGCATTACTGCTTGCATGTGTTTCCTTTATAAAACTGTATGTATTATAGAAATATAATTAATCCTTCTGTTGTTTTCATAATAATATTTTAGTATCTTGTAGAGTTCTGTGTTGCTCTAACTTACAACTCTACATTTTAGCACACCATGTGATGTTGAAGAAGGCATGACATTTATTTGGTTCAAAGAAGTTTATATTTTATTAACAGGAAGGGTTTTTAAGTTATTCTCTATTCAAATAAGGGAGTTGATTGTATGTGTATGTTAAGTTGGTCACCTGTTAGTAATGAAGGTCCTGCCTTTTATAAGCTGACATGTTAGAAGGAAAAACTCAAACAGGCCGTTTGGAGATTTTCCCTTCATGACATCACAAAGGGCAGTAGCCCCTCCCCCAGGTGGGTGACACTCCCACAGCTAGGTGTTTGTTCTGCCCTCTGAGTCTGCCTTCTCACCGTAAACAATAGGACATGGAGCAAGAAAGCTGAAGCCACTCAAGCCCTTCCAGAGAGGGGGCGTGGTCAGACACAGCTCATTTACATTTAAAGGTACAGACACAGAAACAGCCTGTTCTGAGCAGGGCTGAAATAGAGGGGTTTATAGACAGGATCAGAGTGGATTTAGAACAAGAAACTTCACACATATGTTTTGAGGAGCTCTGAGACTTATTTACACTGGTTGAAGAGGAGGAGAATGTGTCACCTTTAACAGCCAGTTGTTATCTAATAAGCCTGCTTAGAGCCAGAAAAATACACACGTCAGACAGATATGATGACCTGTTCAGTTTTCTTAGTCATATGTCTGTTAGCACAAGGTCAGGAGTACAATGACATGTACTGAGGTGAGAAAAATAGGATGTGTAACACATGTTTCTAAAGTAAGTATCACATGATAATGAACTTACTGTTTCTGTGTCATAAAAGCATCTAAAGTGATAAAATACAAGGAACAGAGAGATTTCTGTTTTCGAGATTTCCTCATTTAACCTCAGCGTTATCTTTTTATCTCGAGGGTTATCATGTTTTCATCGAACTCAGACTTCTTGGATGCCAATTTGTGATTGGCAGAACACAATGACTGTTACACAAGTGTGTTTTATTTTCTTCTGTTTGATGCTCTCTCCATCAACATATTTGTGCCCTCTGTCACGTCACCGGGAGTTAATTTATCTCACAGCAAACAGAGGCAATAAACGCAGATATGAGTGGGGTGAAAAGTTGAACCACACTCAGAGGCTTGATAAAGGTAATCATTTCATAGCGTCGATAGTGAGGGTGATGCCGCGTTATCTCGCTTATAATTGGCAATTATTTGAAGAACAGAGTGTAACACTTCTAGGAAAAAGGTCTATGTGGGATCAATTGAAGCAGTAATTGGAGGCCTTCCAATGAAGTTTATCACGGGAACAGAAGAGACAGATTTCATGTACTCAACCTGGTTCACATAAATATTACAAGACGGTTAAGAACAGCAGCCTCACACGTCTACACATAATGCTGCAGCTACTAAAGTGTTAGCTGTTTTAAGCTAAAAGTACTTTACTTACTGTTTGATTAAACCCTGCTTTTTAATTTAATTTTTGGGCTATTTCTTTTGCCCTTTGAATTATGGGATAGGACAGCCGGACAGGAAGTGTTGGGAGATGACAGGGAGTCAGCGATGACATGCAGCAAAGGGCCGAGGTCGGATAGGAGCTTATGGCCGCTGCAACGGGGACGTCGTGCAACATAACCACTAGGCTTTCTGCGCCCCTCAACCATGCTTTTATTTTGAAATAAAGTTAGGACCTTCTGGTTTGGGGATCCCTAACTGACGTCAAACAGCTCAAAGGAACGGTAACAAAGGTCAATGTGTGATGTCATAAGGTCAATGTGTGATGTCATCAGGTGGATATTACTTTGGACTCGTCAGATGAACTGTCTGAGAGTTTGTTAAAGTGAAATGAGAGATTCAAAGACGCAGCAGTGTCCTTCTTTTACATCAGACTACAGGGAGACACTGAGGATGACTATCTACGGTGAGCCTAAAGGGACAAAATAGTGTGAGATTAATCGTGATTAAAATGCTGACAGCTCTAGTATCTATGTGTGCTTGTCGACCCGTCCCCTACTCTGTGATTATGTGAAGCTCTTTGTAACTGTGTGATGTGTAAATAAATAAAGTTTATTATAGCTTGCCTGAAAGATAAGAAGTTGAAAAGGGTTTTTTTTCCGTTTATAGTTTTTCAAAATGTATCTGCAGCACAAATATTACCTGAACATTTGAACATTTGTGTTCCCCTTTGATCCTGTGCAGCGAATTCTGTAAAGCCTCGGCTGGCCCGACAGTGACCTCGGTTTACGAGCCCAAATTAAGATAAGGACAGGTCGTCAGAAAGTCAAACACAGATGAACAGTTTATGGACCTGCTGAATCTTATCTCTGACAAGGAAGTGTGGTGTCATGAAAAAAATAAATAAATCAAAATGCTCTCCTGCACAATAACACAGCACACACACACACACACACACACACACACACACACACACACACACACATGCTTTCACCAAGAACATCAAACACAAACTTATTACAAGACATTTTAAAAGACAGGGAGCCAAACAAGCCCGTCAGAATAAAAGTGTTTAACATTCAACTTAAAGAAAAAACGTCCAGTTGTTGACACATCTGTTTTTACTTCCTGATGAGTACACACTATATACACAAGGCCTATATACACAATAAACACTAAACTGTAATGTAGTCTTGAGCACCACACACTCTTATAATCTTATAACACAATGGGTTTTTTTTTTTTAAGACTACTGAAGGTGCTATCTGACCGTCCCCAGCGGGTCAAAATACAGAGTCCTGTGATCTGGGGGATGTTGGTCAGTCAGCACGTCGGGGGTTAATGTGGCCCTGAGGAACCGCCTGGACTGAAGGGGTTTAGGTAAGCAGCAGGGCAGCCAGCACGCGGCCTGCAGGGGGGGCGTCTGTGAGAGCTGCGAGAGGGACATAATGGAGAGAGAGGTTATCACAGAGGAACAATCAGAAGATGCTGATGTAACCGGGGATAGCTGCACAGTGAGATCGCTAACCATGATGTGATGTGATGTCATAGTAACTAAAATACTGTATAAACACTGCTTACTGCATCTCCAAATGTTTACATTTGTGAGCATAAATTACACAATTATCTTAAATAACAAAATATACTGGTAGAAATGAACTGTGATGTGTGTTTTAAAGCAACAATATGAAACTTTTCTGCCTTCAAAAAAGCTCTCTCAAAGTCGATCTAATCTGCAATCAGTTTAACTAGCGGGGAAAGTTGTCTATGCCTTGTCCACACAGCGCCCTGGTCGCTTGTTTTCAGCACGATGTAACTTTGGCAGCATGCAGCGGTTCTCATGCTACAGAGAAGCCAGTTAGCTTGTCTCTGTGCGGTTTGAAACAAAAGCTGAGGATGAGAGACGGAAGAGGACGATGACGGATGAAGCTATGAAGATAAAAAGAGAGAGAGTGGTAGCCAGTTAAGAGTTAATAATGGACAGGCTCACAGGCGCTTGTCAACAATCAAAGCATGCAAACGCTATGAGCCCCAGGCCAGTAGGGGGCCCCTCAAGGTCTGACAAACTGTAAAACGTCTGTAAAGACATTAGGAAACCTAAGGCGGCCGTAACTATCAGCACTCAGTCCTGCTGCGCTGCTAAATGTCATATGCATTATTCCTGTGATAAACTAACTTTTTCAATGAAAGTCACCGAAGGAAAATGAAGTGAAATGATCCTTCAGGTATTGAAAAAATAGATGAACAAGAGGAAAAAGGAAAGCAGACAGCGGTAAGTGGAGCAGATAATGATTATTAAATGAAACAATAAATTACTGAATGCTGCTCGTCCAGCCTTTACTATCCGGGGGAAAGAATCTACAGTGTGCATCAGACCAGTCTCTACTGTTTCCCACAATGCAAAGCCAGGTCACAGATCTAAATGAGGGACAGCATTGACAATCGTAACAGAGGAAACCATCACAATAAGACCAAACCACCACCAGTTTAATTCAAATCTAAATGAATCTCTCGTCAGCTTTTTTCAGACTGTACATGGACGCTTCACTGTGGCGGCATTTGTCGTCAGCTGGGTTGTTGTTTACTTCCTCATTCCAAGCCTGAAAACCAGCTTAGCCTGGACAGACATACTGCAGAATAACCACCGACTGGAGGTCAGACTACATACTACAGTTGAATGCACTAGGCAGTACATACCGCATGCTGCGTTCAACAGAATGCAGTAGGCGTTTTTTGAAAACAGCCTCTGTGTGTTTTATGACATTATAGTTTAAGGCAGAAAACTTGCGCCAAAGTGCGTTAAATCAAATTTCAAATCAATATCATGTTGCTCTACATTGTCAAAGATCATCTTCACGCTGAGCTGAGTTCTGTGTTTATTTATGTGTATACAGTTCTACAGTGGAGGTGGGAAACCCTGTTGTGCATTTGAACAAAGTTTTACAGTAATAGTTGAACAGTTTTACTGATGAGTCGTCTCGTGTTACCTTGTAATAAAACAGGGGCCGACTCGGGGACTGTATGTGATGTCGACTGAGCAGCTGTATGTCCTTCAGTGTTTCGGTCTTCCTCCATTTGGCGCGGCGGTTCTGGAACCAAATCTGTAAAACAGACACATTTGTGAGATTCTCCTCGATTTATGCAACTTTAAAAACACATTTATTATCCATTGAGAGCTATTATTTAACTTGAAGAGTGAATCAGTCTTAGTGTGATTCAGGTAACAAGTGTTAGTTCTCATTCAGGAGGAGGTTAGTTGTCTCATCATTATCACCATTGTTCGATTGACAGCCGTTTGGATTAGAGCCCGACTGATTTATCGACCAGCCGACAATATCGGCCGATATCCAGTGACTATCGGTATCGGCCAATTTTGTCGCAGAGGTTTATACATCTAACACTAGAAAGGTCATGGATGTCATGCACTTGTTTATTTTTGCGTGTTAATTTATTAAACCGCAAAAATAAGGCCGTTGTATAAGGCTACACTGGCGGTTCTTTCCCCAGCAGAGGGCGCTATATGGATTACAACGAGCATCATCACTCTCCAGAGTGTCGAGCGGTGATGCACGTACATGAGCAATTAATTTCCAGTTTTGTGACCATCTTGTCTACTTAATATATATTTTCCACAAGTATTTGATAACTGCATTTGAGGGATCAATGCAAACAATGTGTATATCTATCTCGACAGATTGACCCTAAGAAAAATATCGGCCGATATATTGGCATCGGATTTTCTTTCTCCCAAATATTGTTATCCAAAACGCCCTCAAAAATCAAATATCTTTCGATATCAACCAGTGAGCATTAGCCGAGTTATGAGTTACACCAGCTTAGGTGAAACATCAGCATTTACTCTGTCTGTCAAATAAAGTCTCTGTGTGATCAGTGTTGTGATAACCTGCAAGTGTCCCACCTGTATTCTGCCCTCAGTGAGGTGCAGGCGAGAGGCCAAATGGTCTCTGGCGCTCACGTCCGGGTAGTGAGTCTGCTGGAAGACGCTCTCCAGCTCCCGCACCTGAAACGTCGTGAAGGTGACCCTCGTTTGCCTCTTCTTCCTCTGACCTGCAAGCACATGATTGTCCCAGACATTTAGATTTCTCACTAAAAGCATAATTTAAACATGTAGTGATTCAATCTTTAAGCTACTTATTCAAAAGTTAAATGTGAATGTACTCACTCGTGCAATCTGTTGTGACTTTTGGAGAGTCTTCAAGTAGTCTCATTTCAGTTTCTACCAGAAGCGAGAAATATCACCATTAATAACAACTTTTTAAATGATTTTTGGACTTTATGAAAGTAGATCCTCTTGTGATTGTTTAAAGAATGACATACCTGCACATGAGAGCTGGGGAGATGTTCTGGTGTTCGCCTTGATAACAGACCAGGTGCGATGGACTCTCTTCTCTCTGCTGATGCACGTCGGCCTCCTCAGGATTTCTTCGATTGAGTGGGATAACGTTTTGCTCGGCTGGGACTCGCTTCCTTTCTCCCTGCAGAACTCCTTCTCTTCTTTACTCCACATTTCCAACAGTTTATTATCACCTCCCGCCATGAGCTCAGTCACCAGATATCTCTTTTGTTTTCCCCGAGCTGTACTCAAAGAAGTCAAAATGTCCAAACGCCTCTGAGCCTTTGAAGACACTTCTTCTCCTCTGTACTATCTTTGTTGCTCTCTACCCTGTTCACGGCGAGGGCAGCTCTGCGTTTGACCTGCATCACATGGTCATCCATAGGGAGGAGCAAACACTACATAACCACCTCATACTTCTAGGAAATATCAGCAATCTGTTCAATTCATGTCAAGGCTTTTTTTTGTGTGCTCATAGTAAATATGTAAACGTATTCTTCTGATATTATCTTTCCTTATCACTCCTCCACTCACCATTTATTGAACTGAGATGTTACATTTGTTCAGAGGGTTTTATTGCTTTCATTGTTAAAACAAACTCTTGCATTACAGGCCCATGGTCATTGTTGTTCTGTAGTTGTGATTTACACTTTGATTGTATTCAGCCATAAAATAATACATTTAATTTCTCTTGCTACTCTTTCTTATCAGCTGTTTTATGGGAGGGATAGTCTTTATCACCTTGTCCTCTGTATGCCCCCTTACACTTCAGTTCACCTTTACAAACCCAGTTAACAGACAGATGTGTTTGGTTTGTCTCCATCTAGTGGTGTTGGCCTGTCAGTGCATTCACTTTGCTCCCCCTCGTCTTTCAAAGATAAACTGTAGAGTTCTTCCTGCATGGAAATGATTAGAACACGTAAAAACACCCCTTTCAGACTTTTGTCACACTTTTTTGACTTGCCAGTTACATTCTCCGAGATGTCACATTTAAAACATCACATAGTAATACACACGTAAACTACAACAAACATAGCAGATTATCACAGAGCAGAACATCTCACACACATACACACAGGTGTGATCAGTGGTTAACGTTGCCCACAGCAACACGTACTAATATGCCTATCCAAACACTGACATTAGAACATCACTAAAGAATACAGCAGAACGTTAAAATAATTAAACAAAATAAAACAAACATTGTTACGGTCAAATGTTTTACTTTCATTTCAACACAAATCTCACTTAAAGACTATTGAACAATAATCCAATCCAATCCAACTTTATTTATAGAGCACATTTAGAAATAACAGAGTTGACCAAAGTGCTTTACATCAAATAGGATGACAATAGACAAAGTTAAATCGAAGCAGAGCGAAAAGAAAAAACAACAACAAACAAACTCTTATACTGGGTCTGGGAAAGCATACAGATACACTTTAAAAACGAGATTTACAGACAACGTGGGTGCCAGCCTGGGGGGGGGGCAACTGGTTCCACAGCTTAGGGGCTACAACTGCGAAGGCCCGGTCTACCCTATGCTTCAGCCTAGCGTTAGGTGCAACTGGGGGCGAGTCATCAGCAAACCTCAATGACTGTGATGGGACAAATATGTAATGGGTAAAAAATGCAATTTCAAGTCATATCAAATTTGTGTTAGGAAGGTATTTCGCAACCCCTCTCCACACACTTTGGGAACCAGTGGTCTAGGAGATGAGGGGAGTTAAAATAAAAAATAAAACCCAGGGAAAAGAAGGAGGAACTAAGTATAAGCTAATTTAAAAATAATTCATTTACAAAATCAGAAACACTTCTCAACCAAACACAAGCTTCTTTTAGAAAAAAACAAAACAAGAGAAGCTGATGAATCTCAAATGAAAGTACAAAACCAACAAGAAAAATGCACACTAAGGCCTCAATGAACAACCCTTCCTTCAACAGAAGGCGTACACTTAAAGGGATACTCCACCTGTTGAAACATGAATCTGTATTGACATTGGGTCATATATGTAGTAGAAATGTGAAATACATTTTGAAGTTGGTGCCTTCTTGACCGAGAAAAGGCAGAAAGTGTCTTTTTGGCTCTTGTGGATGAAAGACACCAAGGTGCTCTATTTACAGACATTTACTACACATAAGGCCGTTTCCTCAACTGATTCCGAGATTTCCTCCAGAGGGAATTGTCATCTTGGAAATTCCTGGCAGAAAACAGACTCTGTGTCCATAGGCAAACAGTGAGAGCACCTACACAACCAGTCCACCCCAGCTCAAGCCGTCCCGGGGTCCTCGTCCTCAGGTTTCTAATGATACAAAGCTTAATGCAAATGGGTGAAGTATCCCTTTAAGTTGCTTGAAGGCTGGCTGCCTCCTCTCTCTCCTGCTCCTTATACTCTAGCCAGGACAAAGCTGCTAATAAAACACCCCAAAGTTAACTTGTTCAGTGTCTCTAAATAAGACGGGACATATCATTACGGCCGCAGTAGCTCAGTCTGTAGGAACTTGGGTATCAAGACCCGGTGTGGACCAAAGTATTACAAACTGTGTGGTAACTGGAGAGATGCAATTTACAGAGTAGACACCTTTGAGCAAGGCACCAAAATCTGATTTTCTTGCTGCATATAGGCAACACTTAGGACAAGCAATTCAGGCCTTTTGGCAGAGCATATATATTGTAATCACCAACAACATCAACAGCTGCTTTTGAGAGTCCATATCAGCATCATATAGCCTACCTGTTTTTTTCACAGTAGTGGCCAATACTGTACATTTATCAATCCATATCTACTGTAAATAGCCCCTTTTCATAACTTATGTTATCTTAAGACACACTTTACAGAAAGAGCAGGTGTAGACTGTACTCATTGTTACATTATCTTCAAAGACCCAACATTAAAGGAAGAATGTGTAAGTTTTTGATCCCAGTAAATGTCGCCCTTGAGTATCTAAACAAAAAAAAACGTATGTTTGGCGACACCTCCACCATACTGAAGCCTCCGCTCTCCCACAACCCCCCTCCACTCACATCCACACAAAGGAGTCAAGTGCAGGCGGCAGACAAAATTGTCCTTTGCTTGAGCTGCAATTGCCTGTGGCCTCCATTGTTGTGTTAGCATGCTAATGTTAGCGCTCTTTAGTAAGCTCGTAGCTTCACATTGCATGTAAATTGACACAGAATGGCCGTGATCTAAAAACGCTTATATTACAGTCAAATAATCAGTGAGTATGTTCTTCTTCTCTCTAGTCCTTGACTGAAACAGCTTTTATACACAAGGGGAGGAGCCGGCCATCCCTGTAAACACGGCTCTGACAGCAACACAGCCAGCGGGACTCAAGCTTCTCACTCATTGTAGACAGTCATGACTCAAAGACACATTTACACAGGATAGTATTTATGTGTCAAATGTTGCACATTCGTCCTTCTTTAATCCACCATGTTCACTGCACTAGGTGACATTTAGCAAATTAACAATGGTAAGGCAGAAACCTCGAGCAGAACCAGACTTGTGTTGAAACGGCATCTGCTGAGACGTACACATTTTGATTCCCTGTGCTCTCGTCAAAACGGTGAAACAAGTTAAAGAGCCACAACTCTGTTATGAGGCAGGCTGTCAATGAACTCAGCTGATCTTTATAACATGGGTCTTATGGGATAGGCTCACTCAGAGATGGCCATTAGTGGTCATTAAAGGGACTGCAGATTTTGGCACATCTGCTTCTTTTCTCTTTCCCACAAAGTCTTAGTTTGGTCCCTTCAGGTCATAGTTTCAAAAACTCTGAAAGCAATAATCCCTTGATTACAATTAAAGACAACTTTTTGTAACAGCTTCCTCACCTTAATCCACCTTTCCTTCAAATCTGCCCCCTGTTGTAATCAAGAATTTCTGTTGCAGTAAGTACCCGTCTTTCTCAGTCCAGAAACTTTTCTTAGAGCTCTAATATTAAAGCACAGCTCTGAGGTAAGCAAATCTAATCTCTTCATAATCCAGGCAAACAGGGAAGCTTTACCAAACCCCTCGCGCAGGAGGTCCCAGCTGACTGATAACAAGACTGTAAAATTGCATGCATCTAGCTAAAGCAATCACCAACAATTAGGGCTGATTTAAATGCTTTCAACCGCCCTTACCTCCAAACTTGATACATTGAAGATGCCATCACCTGGTGAAGCATGGTGCATTCATGGGCGCGCATTAATGAGAGAACCATCCCCTCAACCAGGAAGTGGACTTCTGGGAGAACAAAGATCGGTAACAAGAAAGAGAAAAAAAAGAAGCAACTTTTCTCAGTTAGAAGTCACACTTCTGCACCTAAACATACTCCCTCAGCGCACCGCTCGCCTCCTCCCCTCCCTTAGTGTTTTGACCGAGTGCAGACGTTTATTGGACTGATCTCCATTCTGATACTTTCTTCTAAGTATTTTAAACCTGAGAAAGTATTTTCTTTGAAAAGTATGACGGTTCCCCTTCATCTGTACACTTGTGCCGCCACTCCGCCATCATGCCTCTTTCACATACTGCGTCCCTGAGTGGGCGGGGGCTAGCTCTCTTCCCCCCAAAGAGGTTGCAGGATTATTCATTGAACGGGGAGGGACTCAAGTAAAAAAAACAAAAAAAAACATGTATAGAACATATTTAGCCTTTGAGTAATACATGAACAAGCTGAAGGAAGCGCCGTTCTGTCAGTGTGAACACAAAGCTGAGAACAAACCCAGAGGGACTCTGACTTCGATGTCTTGGTCTTGTCTTGGTCTTGGAGCACTCTGGTCTCGGGTATGTCTTGGTCTGGGTTAATGTGGTCTTGACTACAACACTACTAACACAAGTCTCTTGTCGTCACAGTGTGAAGTCATGAGTGGACTCACTGAAAAGGGACAAAAATGTAAAACTACACGTCGGGAAGCTTATTGCTCATTTATTGTACAGTAGTAAACATACACATATCGACCTCTTCAGTTTGTTGATGAGTAAACAATGTCTGAATAAAGATTTTACTACCTGGGAACATGAAAACAAGGGTTAAGTTGCTGTGAGTGATTAGTAACTCAAAGCTGCACTCTTTGAAAAATAAGCAGGGTCACAGGATACAGTGAGTCGCCAAATCAGAATAAATAACAATTGAAAGTAATAATTTTGGCCTGTATTTATTATGAATGACCTCAGCCAGGTTGTCTCTGCTTTGGACTTGTGCAACATGTTACAGTACGGACAACAACTTCATTGTTCTATTATTCAACGGCCTTTGGTTCTCCTGTTGATACAATATTAAATCTACTGTAGTGCCATGTTAAACCTGTTTTGTTCCCCTGGTCACATAACATTCCTCAGGACAGAGGATCATTTTTGACCTGAAATACTGACAGAAACAGCTGTATTGTCACACTGCTCCTTCCTGCCATCCACATTAAAGCTCCTGTAAGGAGTTTTCTTTAGCTGGTTACGGAACACACTCAGATAC